GATGGTGATGATGATGATGGTGATAATAGGTTACGTATTGGTGCGATTTGGACAATATCCGAAAGAGCCTCAGCTCGGAAAAAGAAAATATAACTGGCTGAGCATATAGATACGTTAAAATTGATCACACATAGTGTTGAGAGCTCACGCAGAACTGGAACAAACTAAACTTGGAAGAGGGGGGTTGGGGGGAGATCATGGTGATGATGATGATTATAATCATTTAAAAATAAATCACGTCCCCGGTAGCATTCTTTATGACAATGTGCACTAACAGATGCCATTATTTGGTAGAGTTCTAATACTAATAGGTTAATAATTATTCGTGGTTGACAAATGAAACGGAATCCGGGGCAAATCGAAAGCTTTCCATAACTGTACAGGCATTTTTCTATAAAAGATTTCTAAGTTAATCTTCCTCTCTCTCTCTCTCTCTCTCTCTCTCTCTCTCTCTCTCTCTCTCTCTCTCTCTCTCTCTCTCACACACACTCTCTCTTTTATGTCTATCTCTCATTTTCTCTTCGCCTCTCTCTCTCTCTCTCTCTGATCATGTTCTCTTTGACCTAATATCCAACATTGCCCCTAGCCTCTCTTCATTTTCTCTTCTCGATAACATTCCCGAGCTAATCCTCGCTAAGTGATAATTATAAGCATTTCTTTTCTATTCTTTTCCATTTATCCTGTCATCGTTCCTTTAAAAAAATAACGTCGCTTCTTTTTACCCTCAACTTTCCATTTCCCTCTTCCCCTTTCCCTCTTCCCCTTTCTCTCTCTCTCTCACTTCCTCTCAGTCTGTCTCTCTCTGTCTCTCTCTCTCTCTCTCTCTCTCTCTCTCTTTCACTCATTCTCTCTCTCTCTCTCTCTCTCTCTCTCTCTCTCTCTCTCTCTCTGTCTCTCTTTCCCGGTGCGTGTGTATCTCTTCTTTGTACTTGTTATCTCTGCCCCAGTCTGTCTTGCTCATCCTTTCTCCTTGTCTGTGTCTATCAGTCTGTCTCTCCCTTTCTTCTTTTACTTTTTTTTTGCTCACCGTCTCATGCACTTTTGCTTCATATCGCACTCACCGAAGACACCCCAGTCCAAACCATCCCTCTCTCTCTCACCACCACGGGGAAAAGTTTCACGTAGATAATCGACTCTTTTGGCCAATCTTCACAGGTTGTTCCGGAGATAGGCCAAAAAGTCATCGATCGTAGGCGGAAAATAATGGCGGAGTATGGCATTCTAGAGGTCTTCGACATCTAGTGTTTATCTCGGGCCTCACACATTGAGAGAGGAGCAGAGATACGATGTAGTGGTGGGATACCTGACAGGGAGCAAATTAGCAGAGAAAGCGAGAGAGAGAGAGAGAGAGAGAGCGAGAGAGAGAGAGAGAGAGAGAGAGAAAGAGAGAGAGAGAGAGAAAGACAGACAGACAGACAGACAGACAGACAGACAGACAGACAGACAGACAGACAGACGAACAAACAGACATACGAGCAGATCAGAATCAGATAAATTTGCAGAGAGACAGGTAGTGTGTTGGGAGAGAAATGCTGGAGACAGGTGACAAGGTAAGTGTTTGGATGTTAAGGGAAGTCAAGTCAAAATTATTCAATGGCTTCTCTCAGATAGCCGTAGCTGCAAGGAATCTTTATAAGTACTGATTTCTAAGAGTATTTCTATCAATAGAGTTTGTAATTGCTGAAACTCCCTGTTACACGCTACTGTCGTCGTATTTCATTATAAACTTTACGTTTTACGTTTTACTTTCAATATTATACCCCCTCCCCCTCCTCTAAGAAAAAAAAGCGACTCACAAAACAATAAAAAAAATAATTAAAAAGCACCCACTGCTTTTATAATATTAACGCACCAACATAATATTTCAGTGGTTACCCTTCTTGGATACTGCAATGGTTGTGAGACTGTGCTTATAACGCGTCATCTCCAGGCTATATTTTAGTGTTCTCCAAGTGAAAGTGTAACAACAGAGGAAATACAAAATGTTTAATTACACGTAACCAAACAGATACGTTACTCTAAAAGAGTTCACATGACAAAGTGCATAAGCGTTGATGTCTTTAGAAATGAGCGTGCATTGAATTCGGTATGATTTGTGAGTCAGTTCAGGAGCTGCGTTTGTTGTATCAAGAGTGTCATATATCTAGGTTTCAATGTTATAACACGATATATCCATCCACTACAAAACTTTAAGAATTGCAACTAAAAAACTCAACAAATATCGAAAGAAAAAAATACCAAAATGTCTCATGTAAACTGTAGTCTGAAAAAAAGAAGTTTTACCATACTAAACTAGATATCGAGGGATACAGAGCATTGTGAAAGGAAAATTTAATGTTCTCGCCACAATCCTTATCATAAGACTATAGAGTGGAAAGGGTTTTCTAGAAACACCCGTGCTTTGTGCATAAAGCGTTCTGTAATGGAACCTTCCGTTTTGTGAGTGTCAAGTATCGTAAACACGTTTGACGTGTAATAGAGAGAGAGAGAGAGAGAGAGA